CAAATTTTTAAGAAAAGTGAATTAGTATGATCTCTGAATCCAACATTATGAATCATTCATAAAGCTTTTTTTCTGTAGCCTAGATATCTCCCTGAGCAGTTTCTTAGCGTTGTCTGCAAATAATGTAAACTTAAATTTTGATATGATAAAGATTGTACAAGTCATGTACCGTCTTCTGAAAAAGAACTCCCCCAGACTGTACGTATTGTTCCCTATAAGACAAAGAGGATTTGACCCAATTCAGCATGCTTAGAGTGAGGGATTGCTGAAGAGTCAATGGAATCAGTGTGTTTCTCTTTAAATAGAAAACATAACTAGATGTGCTCTCTTCAACCTGACATGGGAGCTTGTCTGATTAACCGTTTCTTTCCCAGACAGCACCAACTGTGCAGCTAGTTTACCGTTTCTGATCTCTGCTTCTATAGTCGTTTCGTACCTCCCTTAAACCCTCAATAAGCCTTGGGACATGCTTATCCAGGAAGAGAGAATCTTTAAACCAGAACTCTTTGAACGTTTAATCTGAGTGGATCGTCGGATTGAAGTATTGTGAATTGAAGCTATAGAAATAGAGTTTAATAAAGAGAATTGGTCCTAGCACTGATCCCTGTGGTACTCCACAGGTAACCTTTGATCATGAGGAAGATCTGTCATTAACGTGAACAAACTGAATTCGATCAGATAGATAAGATTTAAACCAGTCTAGAGCTGTCCCTTTAATTCCAATAAAATATTCAAGTCTTTCTAAAAGAATATTATGATCGACTGGATCTATCTAAATCTAAAAATGTCTGATTGCATAGAAGGAAATATGCTCTGCTTTTCAGAATTTATCAAACCCCCTGCAGGAGAGCAGATGGTCAAAGCTTCAACGCAGACGATAAACTGGGAACCTGATTTAACCTGCGATGAATAAAAACACCAAACACCGGGATGTGTGCATTACTTAGAAATAAAACCAAAGTTCATTTATTTCACATTGGACACAAATGAAAAAGCAACATAGAAGATCTCAGCGACACTTTTTCCATTTCCATGTCATCACAAAACAATATTCTTTTATTTGAACCAGTAAAACAGCAGTAAATACTCAAAGTCATCCTGTAGGGAGAAATCAAAGCACAAACAGTGCCACTACCTCTGGTATGAACTGAAAACTAAAGCCTTGGTCCAGCTTCTTAGGAGCCACATTTCAAACCGAAACTGAGCCAAGCATCTCAACATTTGGGGAATTTAAAAGAAGTTGAGGCCTTCAGAACGCGGCTGATCAGACAGAAAGCAGGCAGCGGTGACCTCCACTCACAGCTCTACTGGTTTCCTCTGCAGCCCAAACTGCCCCAAGGACTTTAAAAGAAGGAAAGGGTGAGAGATTATTGGGCGATGACAAACAGAGCAGTCAGGCTGGAACAGCAGTTCCTGCTGGATGGAGACGCTCTGGATGCTGCTCCTCCATGTGGCCTGCTAAAAGACTGCAGCTAGCCTTCAGGCACGCCTCCTCGTCCTCGTTTCTCTTCTCCCCGTCCTCAGGCCTTGATCTCGGGGGTGGTGCTGTACAGCTGCTCTGAGTTCTCCGTTCCCAGGTCCTCTGAAGACACAAGACAGCAAGGCAGGCAGTTAGAGGGGAGGCTCTGCTGACAGACCTTCCAGGTCAAAGGATCGGACTCTGGATGTATGAGAAAGGGCTTCCTGCAGCCATTGAAGGCCCAAATGGCTGAGGCTGTGCAGAGGTAGTAAAGGCTAAGCTAATGCTCCGAGGCTGTGCAGAGGTAGTAAAGGCTAAGCTAATGCTCCGAGGCTGTGCAGAGGTAGTAAAG